GCTTAATCTGGTTGCCATGCATCAATCAGTCACAGACAAGACACTCGTACTCACCTATTAGACTGTTGCAAGGCTGTATTTTACACCCCTGCTAGTGGCCGCCGAACGTCGGATCATGTCGACACCGAGTCACCTGGTCCGCTATAGCCTTTCGGGCACCTTGAAGTACCGGGTTGAAACAGGGTTGAAACACGACAAGTAGATATTGGATAGACGATGTCCTTGAAGCATATCACATTAATATTACTGAGCATGATGTATTGGAGACTTGGTACCTAATAAATATTCTTTCCGAATTGTTCCTTTTTTTTCTTCTTTATTTGTCACTATTTTGACTGGCATACCGGATTGCACCTTGGCAAGCACAAGATCCGTACACAGAGAGCTCAAAAGTTGAGTTATGGTCCGTAAATCTGTATAAATACGAGCTTGATTATTGTCACTATTAAAACCATTGTTGTCCCCCGATTCACTGCATCAGGTCAAGTAGACGCGACTTTCTTGTAGATTTTCTATAGACGTCTATAATCACTGCTAGACGATGTCATCGACGCCGTCCCAGCCTCATTCCATTTACCTCAACGGTCTTTCTGCCGCAAGTTCGAGGGCTAGTAGCGAGGCATCCTTGCAGCGCGTCAAAAACCTGCCTGGTTATACTACCCCAGTCTTCAAAGGCAAGGAAGAACAGCGCGCCAAGGTGCAAGCAGATGTCTCTGCCAAGGTAAGCAAACCAAAACCCCCCAAAACAAAAGAAACAATAAAATTTACATCACATCCATAGGGTTTCATTCCTCGCGAGCTGGTCGTAAACGAAGTCAACTGGTTCTACTCTCAGCTCGGCATCGATGACACTTACTTTCAAAATGAATCGCCATCTGTCATATCTGATCACATCATCGCGCTCTTTGGGTGCCAAGGTACTCGCCTACACCAAGCACGACCTCAATAAGCTCGTCATCGACCTCGAGAAGATTGACGAGAAAGGAAATGGGGCGACTTTTATCCACACCAGTTTACCGGGCCTGACTTCTACCGAAGGCCCTGGGGCTACCTGTGAATCCAGGTATGTGATCTCATGACGCTCACAATCGCTATGCCAATTTTGTTCCTGATACAGAATCGACTCTTTATACCTCGACAACTCAACTCTGTCGAATTGTTACCGCCTTGAGACTTTCCGATCCACTGGATCTATATCGGCAACGGCATCTCAACAGCTGCGCTGTTACTTCATTACTAAGTGCAACTTCCCTTCTCCACCACCCGCCTCAACTCGGACTGATGGACGTACCGATATTCGTACGGTCTCCGACACTGCTTTCCTTGAGAAAGCGAGCCCGCATACTCTTGAAGTATACCAGAAAATCTTGTGGCAAGTTGAGAGCCGCTACGGTCCTGTCATGGAAGTGTTTGAAGTTGAAGGCACTCGTGAGAGGCGTCTTGTCATCGGATACAAAATGGGCGGCACTTCCCGTTTCTTCAGGTGTGTTAACCCATCCATTTAATAGCACGGTAGCCTTAAACTATTTACAGCGCTCTGTCGAACCTCTATCACTTTTACCAGCTGTACTCAGCTCGCAAGTATGTGGAGCAGTTCTCCAATGGGATCACGATCATTTCTCTATACTTGAATCCGATGCCTAACTCAACCGGCGCGCCGATCGAGCACTCCATATTCCAGGTGATGAAAGAAGCATCTCTGCTTTACTGTCTTCCCGACAACCCTTTTTTCCTCGACTCTGTCAACTCTGGACATGCTGTACAAGAGGCGACCTATGCTTGTATGCTCAATATTTTTGAGGATAGGAATTGAGTTAATTGTTCATTAGACTGTGGTTGGGTTTTCGCTCAACACTTCTGCAATCGCCTGGGTCCTGCGTACCTCCACCTCAAAAATATCTTGGATGAATCGAACCCCTCACACGCCGAAGTTCTCAATGATATCAAGAGACGCTTCAGGGAGGAGACTTTCACGCGGGAGAGTATTGCTCAAGTCATCCATGCACACGCGGAAATCGTGCGTTGCCGGTCTCGCTTGTGAAACGTCACATTAATATCTTTCCAACAGATTCGTCTCCTCTATGTCAACTTCGCCATGGTACATTATCCAGCTGCAGACGAGGCATCGCAACTTGGGTGAGTCTGCTAATGTATTCGCCTTGGGTAATTTTGACTAAACGCGCTCAGTCCTACTCTCTCTTACCAGCGTCTTCAAACTACGCAGCCCCTGTCTGACTCTGAGTTGTACGATAAAATCAGACGTACGGTCCTGAACAAGCAGGATCTACAAGTTCTTGAGAGTTTCCTCATTTTCAACAAGTGAGTTTCAACGCGATTGATTGATTGGTAGCTGACCTCTCCGCAGGCACATTTTGAAGACGAACTTCTATCAACCCACAAAGGTCGCATTGTCGTTCCGTCTTGCCCCCGAATTTTTGCCTGAGATTGAATATCCAAACAAACCTTTCGGAATGTTCATCATCATCGGAAATGAATTCCGTGGCTTCCACATCCGCTTCAGAGATGTTGCCCGTGGCGGTATTCGAATCGTCACGTCGCGAAACAAGGAGTACGCGCGCCTTTTCTGGACTTTGGGATCCCGCGTCTGACTTCTTCGCAACCAGGAACTATTCGATCAATCAGAGGATGTTGTTCGATGAGAACTATGGATTAGCTGCTACTCAATCTTTGAAAAACAAGGACATTCCAGAAGGAGGCGCCAAGGGTACTATTTTGCCTTCGTGCGTGATTTAACTTGCCATCTTTGCATTTTATGTACCTTTCACGCAGTCTTGGAGCGCCGCCCAGACGCTGCTTCGAGAAATATGTCGATGTAAGTGCGCAGTTATGCATCAATAGATAATTATCAATTATTAAACTAGGCTATCATCGACCTGCTTATCCCTGGTCAAACTCCAGGGATTAAGGAACGCCTGGTTGACTTGTATGGAAAGCCAGAGTTGCTGTTCTTTGGCCCTGATGGTAGGATTGCGTGTTCGATATACCATGGAGGTGACTGACATCTTGTATAGAGGGTACAGCAGATATGATGGATTGGGCAGCGTTGCACGCTCGCGATCGTGGTGCCGAGACATGGTGGAAGTCGTTTACCACCGGCAAAAGTGCCGAACTTTTGGGTGGCATTCCCCATGATACATATGGAATGACGTCGCTATCCATCCGTCAATATGTGCTTGGCATTTACAAGCAGCTTGGACTGAGGGAGAAGGACATCACAAAAGTTCAAACTGGTGGTCCTGGTATGTTTGCCCCTTTACTCTTTGGAAGTCGTCCTTGACATTTTGCAGACGGAGACCTCGGTTCGAATGAGATACTCTTGAGTTCCGACAAGACCGTTGCCATTATCGATGGCAGTGGTGTCCTTGCCGACTCTGCAGGTATCAATAGAGAGGAGCTCATCCGCCTTGCCAAACATCGCCTGACCGTCGCTCACTTTGACAAGACCAAGTTGAGCAAGGATGGGTACCTTGTCAAGGTTGAAGAACAGGACGTTAGGCTACCTTGTATGTTCGGCTTTCTCGAAGTTTGTTGTTGTCTCACATTGTCGTTAGCTGGCGAAATCGTTCTGGATGGTACCGACTTCAGAAATGGTGCTCACTTCCGTTTCAAGGCAGATCTTTTTGTGCCTTGCGGTGGACGGTTTGTTTCTATCACTACCTGCACCAAACACCAGCTGACGATCATTCAGCCCTGAAGCTGTGAACGTCTCTAATGTTGCTGCTTTGACGGACACAGAAGGCAAACCCCACTTCAAGTACATCGTCGAGGGTGCAAATTTGTTCTTCACTCAGCAGGCAAGGTTGCACTTGGAGAAACGCAAGGTTGTCTTGTTCAAGGACTCTAGTGCGAACAAGGGTGAGATTACCTTTGTTATAACCTATTGCATGGTCTTGACTTTGCTTCAGGTGGTGTGACCAGCTCCTCGCTTGAAGTGCTCGCCGGTCTTGCCCTCACGACCCAGGAGTACCTCGATCTCATGATCTTCAAGGACGCCAAGCCTTCAGATTTCTATAAAAAATACGTCAAAGAGATTCAAGACAAGATCTCGGAGAATGCGGCAGCAGAGTTCCACTGTATTTGGCGCGAGCACGCTCGCCTCCAAGGCGCTAAGCCCCGAACACAGATCTCGGACGAGCTGTCCATGAGGCTCAATAACTTGCAGGCGGAGCTTGAACTCTCTGACTTGTTTGATGATGTACCTAGCCGCAGGGGCGTCATGAAACGCGCTATACCCACCACCCTGGTGGATCAGGTCGGTCTCGACGCCCTGCTAGAGAGGCTTCCCGAAACATACCAACGCGCTCTATTCTCGAGCTGGGTTGCTTCGCATTACGTGAGTTTCAACCGTATCTCCTTTTCTTGCTGTCTGCCCATACTTCATCTTGCAGATCTACAAATATGGTGTTAACAGCTCTAGTGTCGACTTTTTCCATTTCGCTCGGGATCTCGCACGATAGATTCTATTTGTCTCAGGACTTGACTTTGGGATCACTACGTACTGTACATAGGGAGAGGCCGATAATGCCATATCAGGACCGACAAGAGTGCTTTCTTCTGCCTAGTAGCGCTTTCAATACGATGGACTATAATAATGTACCAAATGTGACACGATGTTGTATAAACCTGGATTGCCACGTAGATTCTCCACCTCTAATGTAGAAACAAGCATGACCTTGGATCTTAAAGCCCTTGCTCCCTCTGGAAAGTAGTTTCCAATGAAAAAAACGATGGATCATCCAATCGGAGACAACTGCTACAGGGAGCTCAACTGTAGCCTAGGATCTGTCTATGCCTTCACAACGAGATTATTATCTCTGATATCGATAAACCCTTGTCTGAAACGTCGCGTTAAGCCATCGATATGATTGATCGATGACATCCGAACGATGAATTTAAAAGAAAAAAATTGTAATCATTAGCATATGTGAAACCGCAGTGCTGACAATAATATCAAATGTCCACGATGAATGCAAAAAATACTCTCTGGCGGGGAATCGAACCCCGCTTTCCCGCGCACAGCAGGTGTGACAGGCGGGTGTACTATCCGATATACTACCAGAGACATGTTATGGGAGGAAAAATACCTTACATGGTGAGCGAACAAATATAGTATTATGTTAGCCTTTGCACTAATAGATCGGCTAGTGATTCACTACATAAGACCGACAAAAAGTTGTTCATGCGAGTGCATGCCAGAACTGTTTAGTAAATAGTTTGATGTCTCTAACATAATACATGCTTGAGTATCTGAAGCCATGTAAAGTAGAGAGGCGAATACACTCCTTGATTCAGACGCCGCGGCGTGGCTGTGCTTTTACACAAGTTCACTCACTGGCAGGCTGAGCGCTGAATCCGCCGCTGATGCATCGATGCTAGGTCCTACTACTTAGGTTTTGACTTTCTACTGGTCAGCTGTCGGCCAGTAACTCACAAGGTATTGTTACAGTGGACACTCATGGGTATCATGATACCGCGGCCCTGTTTTCTTGATGCCAAATGACATCAGCTGGAGTATTGAAGTAAGCAAACTTAGTATCCCTCTCAAACATTAACTTGAATGTTGTGACAATGCGTCGGTGGAACCTTGGTTGTGCACCACAAAAGGTTTGGTCCTCACATTGATGTGGCCAAGTGGTGCACAAGGCGTTTTGTTGCCCTCCGCCATCTTCGTACCAGCACTGTCACAATGCCAGCCGCGTTGTACTATGCTTTGACTATGTTTGGACGGGTCGTTGTGTGGACCTGGGTGGAGGTCCACAGTCACGACAAAGCTCCACAGGTTTGTGGATTTTTCTCGCCCTATAAATTATCGTTGGATTAGAACTGTACTTCTCACCAAAAACCAACATATCCATACTATCCCCCAGCCTATCTATCAACTCAACCATTTATCTTTCAGCCATGTCACAAATGAAACAACTCTGCGACTCTGCAGCATCACCATTCGAAGGTGTACCAGCCGCCCAATCCACGAAACCCGGGCTCAACTTGAACGCTGAGACATTTGTTCCTGAGCATAGCTACTTTCCCCCACCTCATGGCACACCAGAGACATGGTTGGATCATCTTGACGCTGGCATGCTGTCATCCGATCCCAAATTGCCACCTCTCCTGGTGCATTCGTGTTCATGGACATCCAACACATTATGCGACCTTGCTCAACTTTTCTGCTGGGAAATTTTAGCCAAAGCGAACACAGTGGATTTTGGTCCTCAGGCGGCTTGCTTTGCGCGAGAAGTGTATGATACATTGGCGAACAATCAACCCGACTCGGAGTGGCTCTCCAGCAGTTTCGCATTCCACTTGCAACAGCATGCCTTCAAGCACTTCAAATCGATCTGGTGTTCTCAAGTACGTGGTATCGCAGTTCCTATTGACAATACTCACCATCGCACAGGAAAATCCGAATGCTATTTCCCAAGGGAAAATACTCGACAACATACGGTGGAATGTCGCGTTGGACTTTTCTTGCTTCGTAGCAGACTTGTTTTCATTTGGTCTCATCAAAACATCAACCATGCACCATTGTCTGGGAATTCTGTTGCGCGAGATGGTTAGCGTACAACACGTACGCGTCATCCAAGCCATGGTTAAACGCGCTGGACCGACTTTGTGGCAAACGGCCGATAGTCATCAACGCCGCCATGAGTTCACCCAGTATTTCGTGCAGCGCACTAGATCACTTCCGGATGATGCAAGCCTGACTGAACGAAAAGAAAGCATCCGTAAGGTGATAGAGGTGTGTTGTGATATTGCTGGATAGCTTTTATAGAAATTAAAACTCATTCTTCACAATACAGGCTGATAATATATCCCGCTAATCAGTGCATGGCTAGCACAGCGGCCAGAATGCCCTCCGCCTGCGGAGAAATCCATTTGGGGATTAGCTGGCCTTAAATGAGCTTCGTAGCTGAGTGTCTCTGAAGATAAACAAATGTGTTTCATGTAAAGTAGTAGGTTTGACTATAAGAATAGTTTGCTTTGATTTCAGCAGGGTTCGAGTGACGTAGGAAACACCCTGGATGAAATCAGTGCCGCACTTTGCAGCGAGAATATGTTCTGTGACGTCCACCTTAAGAGACCTGCCTGATAAATGAGGTAAGTCAAAGAAAAGTTCTGCTTTTGTCAACGATACACATTTCTCGCGCAATAAGAATGGCATGAGGCGTTGCATCCAAAAATTGGAAGCGAAGATAGTTAGCGAAATGTATCATTGGGTACCTATCCAGGTTAGCTGTCTATTCGTCTATTTCTTCGACATAATTTAGCACGCGCTCATATGCCTGCATCACCCAAAGCATCATCATCGTCAACTTTAGGTGCCGGAATATGGGCTCTAGCCCACGAGGACGTCTGATATGTTGCGTTCAACAAAGGATCTAGAGGACAAAGTGCCCAAGATGTTCCATCTGACGAATCGGGCGGGAGCAGCGCCGCCGCTGCCAGTGAGAGGTATGTGTGATAGGGATCTAGGACAGCGTTTGCTGCAAAGTCAAAGTGTTTGACAAAGACGTACCAGGGTGCTCGCCGGGTATCTTTGCAATTCCGCCGTATTTGAATTGGCAGGAAGCTATGAAGGATGACATTGCCGCTTTGTCAACCAAATCGCCTGCATCTAATACCTGATGCGTTGGAACAGAAGAAAATGTTTGAGTTTCCATCGACGTCATAAGACGCTATGAACTTACATGCAGCGATGCACCGCACCAGAAACAATAGCATGCGTCAGCGTCCTTGTTGGTCCTCCCACTAAACCCGCCGTTGGATGCTTGATTTTGTACAAGCCACCGAACGGTTTTCTGTCGATCTTGAAGGGTAAGGGGATCTGGTTGTTTAGTAGCTAATCGGAGTGATGCCAGTGCACAATACGTAGTGCCACCTGGAGAGGGAAGGTGGGGTGAACTTTTATCATATCATAAGGCATGGCACGCTACCTAGAGCCTCCCCAAACGGTGATTGCCCATAGCCTCCTTCATATGTCTTAAGAAACAGCTATTATAACGGCTCTCGATAAAAAGCTGTCGCAAACTTACCCGGCACGAGCGAATGAACTGGAGAGCACTTGCAACATCCATCCCTGACCAGTCATCAAGCATGGTGCTTATGGCGAAAGCACAGAACGTCGTGCGTAGATCGGAGTCACCTCCTAAAGGTTCAGAAGAAAAACTAGGACACTTGGTCTGTACCTTGAAAGTGCCTGACATGATGTAGTAATTTACCTTCCATCGACGTTCTGACAGGACCTGAGGAACTTCAAGAGGCCCTTCCTGTCAAGACGTGAAAAGTTGTCACGCAATATGGACAGCGAGAGAAGGGCAGTATAAGTCATGATAATCTGAGGGTTATCGTAGCCCGAATGTTCCTCTGCCTTCAGACTGGAATCAATTTGTTGTCTATATAACAAAGGTTCATTCTCACCGAATGTTTGGCAGTCATATAAGAGCTTGCTCGGAAGCCGGTCCCATAATGTCCGCCTGGTGACTTGTGCTCAATTCTCTTAACATGTTGGATCTCAGAATTGGCTCACAAGTCTGTTGACCCCATATCCATTCCCTCCAGTGTTCTCTTTCCCAATCCCTAGTCTTCTTTTCGAGCTCACCCGAAACATCTAGGGAGCCTAGGCAGTAAAAGGACAGGGCAAGCCTGTGATAATCATGAACGCGTTAAAATAGCTGCCATCGAGATCAGCATCGAATAAAGTACTTGGCCGGGTCAATATCCACTTGGGAAGCTGGCAAGCCGGACAAGCATCTTTTGCAATGTGTTGCATGACCACCTTTGCTCAGCGGAGGCAAACTTGTTGGTAGCATTTGGTGATCTTCCCACAAAAGGATCTCCCTTGGTCAGAGGTGTTGCTAGTAAGCAGAGGGTGTGGTGGTTAGTGTCGACTCTTTCGCGTATTCAAAATCGATGATTGCAGTCGTCGGATCAGGAAAACTGTCCCCGGGCGGGCCGTTGCTGCTCGCATGGAACTTGCAAGATGCCCGCGAGAGCGTGCGCACTGCGTAGACACCGCCAGCGTACTGTCGAACTCTTGTAGCTTTCTGAGATGAACTATGAAGGAGATTGTTGCTATACACGATTTAATCTCATGTAAGATCTACTATCGCCTTTGTCTGATGACGTATTGTGATCAGCCCTGCCCTTTAGATGGGCTGGTCACCGTTCCGTTATCGCGCATGCTGCTCAGCCTCCTGCGGATTGACTTCCGAGATTTGAAATATGAAGAAGATCTCAAGATGCACTCCTCGATTCACTCTCACATAAGATCGGTTGCCTTTCGGGAGATCAACACGTATGCGAAGAGCGTGCTGTCGTGTACAGCTCTTGCAACTTGAAATATGAGGGGTTCTTGTTGCTATACAACCGATTAGTAACAACAGATGCAATACTAACACTCCTCAATTCACTCTCACATACAAGATCCAGTAAGATCAACCGTCTTTCGAGAGCCGTGTCGTAATGATCTGATGGGCACCAGCGCTGCAAAGGTCTGCGAACTATATCCTGAATATGGCAGCAGGAATCAAAACTCGTGTCACACCTTAAGGTCAAGTGCTTTGTCGGTGTATTGTCACGATAAAATTCGTGATCGTTGGTTTTATGTCGATAGCATATGACGTTCAATCGAGCGCATTGGGCGAGACGTGCGAAAGATGCGCGATTTAGGTTCGTTTGCGATGGAAATCCTGTAATCAAACGATCGAGACGAGTAATGTGAGTACGGCACTGTGACAGAATGGAAGCTATCTTGGTGGGGAAAGACAAAGCTAGATGACGAGATGATTGATCAAATGTTCAATCAAAGCGTCTCTCTCCATTGCAAAAGCGTCGCTGCGCTGGGAAGCGAATAATTATCACTGTCTAACAAGATCCTAGGCTTGAAAAAGACAGATGCATCACTCCCCTGTCCTGCTTGTCCTTCATCTAGATGTTTCGCAGTCAAAGCAGGCGCAGTGGACATGTTCCGAATGGATCACAGAACACTCACCTTCTGACTCGCAAAAACACCATACATCCAGGCTAGCACGCGATGGCAAAAGAAATGGTCCTTGATTGATA